CAATCAGAACCCTTTTATGTGTTGCACGATTAGTTTTGTTATTAAAAGTGTTATATTACCTTCTACCACTTCAATCAGAACCCTTTTACGTGTTGCACGATTAGTTTTGTTATTAAAAGCGTTATCTTACCTTCTAGCACTTCATTCAGAACCCTTTTACATGTTGCACGATTAGTTTTGTTATTAAAAGTGTTATATTACCTTCTAGCACTTCATTCAGAACCCTTTTATGTATTGCACGATTAGTTTTGTTATTAAAAGTGTTATATTACCTTCTAGCACTTCAATCAGAACCCTTTTACGTATTGCACGATTAGTTTTGTTATTAAAAGTGTTATATTACCTTCTAGCACATCAATCAGAACCTTTTACATGTTGCACGATTAGTCTTGTTATTAAAAGTGTTATATTACCTTCTAGCACTTCAATCAGAACCTTTTACATGTTGCACGATTAGTCTTGTTATTAAAAGTGTTATATTACCTTCTACCACTTCAATCAAAACCTTTTACATGTTGCACGATTAGTCTTGTTATTAAAAGTGTTATATTACCTTCTAGCACTTCAATCAGAACCTTTTACATGTTCTTCTGCCTGCGTCACCAAAATCCAGTAAGAATGGTCATAATCAGTTACGTTTGAGTGCAGACAACTTTCTATTAGCTTTTAATGAACTTTGATACAAAATACTACATCGGTTAAAAACTGTCAAGTAACTTGATTAAATATCACCACTGCGAAAAGTAAACATCGTGGAATATCAGTGAAACCCCTTCGGTTCGGAAAAGGAAATCTCTTTTATACCCCCCCCCCTCCATATGTGGGGAGCCCAATCGTCATACGGATTCCCAGGACCACAATCCTTACTCTTTAATAAATCTATATTTGAGAATAGCTGCATTTCATTTCTATCACCTAATTTGTGAAATTAATATAATGCTGAAAACGATTTACTTAGAAACTTGGAGTTGTTTTCTTTACTTACAGAATTAATGATAAGTTAGAATTACTTTCAGCGACTTTACAAATATAAGGAGGGGGGTAAGAAAGGAAGAAGAAACAAAAACACATTTATCTTCTTTCAAAGTTTGTCACAGGCAGACATGGCTCCAAAAACTTCTACTATCAATTACTGGTTAAAGCTTAACAAAATACACAGATCAGGACTAAAAAAGTACCTTATAAATAATGAAGCCATTTCTACATAACAAATTGAAAATAGCTACTTAACATTATAAATCAGTACACAACATCACTAAAACCTATGATGTTTAGAACGTCTTGAATTATCAGCTGAACGCCCTCTGACCCTAGTGGCTCAGTGATAAGTCTGAAGGCTTATAACGCTAAAAACCGGGTTTCGATAGCTGTGGTGGGCACAGTACAGATAGCCTTTTGTGGAGCTTTTTCATTAACGAAAAACAGAATTGACGTCCTCAATCTTAACGAAATTTTCGACTGCAGAAGTACAAGTTAATTATTCTGTTTGTGCTGCCACCTATCATTACATATGATGATGGCATTAACCTGACCTGACCTGATTCTGATGTGTGTATGTCCTTGTTTGTCGGTAAAATATATATATATATATTTACTTAGTGTAGAGCATATCAAAGGAGACTATGTCTTTATTATAAGATACTCATTGGCAAGTAAAAAAAAGGAAAAATGTCGACCTTTATCTAGGCCGTATAGAGCACATGAATACATTTAATACATTACTATACAAAAATATAAAATGAACCCGGTTGATCGTCACAAGTTGAAAACTTTTCAACGTTCTGGGTTACAGCGTTGAATGAAGTATAATGAGAGCTAGAAAATACTCTTTCATTGTGAGAATCAGAATATAGTTGCTAGAATTTCAGTTCATATAATTGGTTCATGTTGTTTGTTTTATAAACACACTTTTATACTCTTTCACCCAGAGAGCAGGAGTGTAGCTGTTAGGGTTTTCAGGTAGATAATTTCGCATCTTGGACTTTTGAAGATTTTAAAATAGAAGTAATAATATCACAAAGAAGAAACACGTGAGTTTTAGATCCAACTAGAAAAGCTGTCACACTCTCGTAGGCTCAGTGAAAGAGCATAAAGATAAATCTGTAAACAATACAAGAGAAACACATTAAGTTAAGTAAAAAAAAACTCTGACAGCCGTAAATCCCTTTTAGTAATGAGATAAATTAAAGTTAATATAAATATGAACTATTTTAGACACCTTTTCTTGTTTAGAAAAATTTTATTAAACTCCACTGAGTGTAACTGTCATCGACCTGCTAAACTAACGATAGTTGATACACTTCAAAAAGCGATCCTCACTTGCTCGTATGTTCTACATACAGTAGAACAATAGAAACTAATATATTTATAAGATCTTGCTACTTTCGCTATGTTACATAAATATAATTACAGTAAAACAATTCTATAACTATTGTTTGATTCGAAGAGCGTGAACTTAGGAATAAACACGAATATTGTGAACGTATTTATAATGTATAATCTTAGTTTACCTATTAACACAACGAACAATGCTCTGGTGTCAAGAATTTGTTTGTTTGTTCGGTGAGCTATCTGTGCTATGCTAGCCACGAGTATCGAAACCCGGTTTTTAGCATTGTAAAACTTCAGATTTACCGATGACTCACTAGAGGGTACTAAAATCAAGAAATGAAATGACAGTAACATATTGTAGATTAAGGTAAAGTAAAAAAAAAGAATAAAACATTGCTCTCAATATTCCGCAAAAATGAGCCAAAAAATTATCTGTTTCTCACGTCCCAAAAATATATGTCAGAGAAACGTCTACTCGTAGAACAAACCTAAAGTTTTCCTTTTTTTTGTTTGTTTGTTATGGATTTCGCACAAAGCTACACGAGGGCTATCTGCGCTAGCCGTCCTTATTTAGCAGTGTAAGACTAGAGGGAAGGCAGCTAGTCATCACCATCCACTGCCAACTCTTGGGCTACTCTTTTACCAACAAATAGTGGGATTGACTGTCACATTATAATGCTCCCACGGCTGAAAGGGCGAGTATGTTTGGTGTGACGGGGATTCGAACCCACGACCCACAGATTGCGAGTCGAGCACCCTAACCACCGGGCCTACTTTTTTTTTGACAGGAATGATAGTTGAAACGTTTGTAGTTCTACGTGATCCGAATAGCCAGCTATGAAAAACATTGGGATTAAAATACGCCACCAAGTTGTAATAAAAGGTATCAGGATTCTTTCGTGCAGAGAAAGTTTGTAAATGATCTATGACGTTGTACTTACTACTAACCGAAAATTCTGGCTTCATGCTGTTTGTCATTTACATTCGATTATACTAATGATTACTTATTTTATTTATTTTAAACTTGCCGAGAGTACCCGTTAAGGAAACAAACATAGTATATAGGACAGTGTTAGATAATGTTCCCCTTTCTTTATTCTTTTGTCGTTACATCCTTAATGACCTCATTAGATGCTACTCGCATACTCTGCTTTGTGGAAGGTAATAATTGATTCATTTAACGGATTAAGTACTTGTGTCTCTAAATTCAAAGTACATAAAAAAAGATGAAACGCTCTATTTCAGGGTGTTTTTTATGCCCCTGCTCTGAGAAAAATCTTGAAACAAAGTAGCCCACGTACGTTGTCGAACAGTTTTCAGTTACCATACCAAAGACTATGATAATTGAGCCGGTCAACTCTGGATGATGGTTTCTAACACATAGACACACACTCGCAATGGATTATCTTTATAGTAAGATATTTAGAATGAAAATGATAGTCATATTTTTCTCCCCAGGTGGATCAGCAGTAAGTTGACAAACTTACAACACTAAAAACTGGAGCTCGATTCCACACTGTGGACAGAGCGCAGCTAACTCATTACGCTCAGAACAGCAACAACAGTGTTGCGTGTTTTCAAGTATTGTTTTTGTACTGCGTATGAAAACAATGGAAACTCTAGTTACGTTTATACATAGAAATATATCACGACATGTTACTTGTCCGACGGAGGTAAACCCTGCTTAGATTAAGCAATAAAGTATTACTACCTAGCTTTTATAAGTTTCTTTTTATATCTCTGTTTTTCCCAATCCGATCATAAAATTGGGTGTGTTGGTACAATGGAGCGTTTTATCAAGATACCATAATGTATCTTTCATACCCAGTGGTAAAACTGAGCATTACAGAGAGTTGGATACGTTATATTAAAACAATTGTGAAGCCTCACCACCTCATTACAGTCCATCCCTTGCTGTTACCTTTCCATAATCTATCTAGTATACGTGGACGACAGTTTCCCGATGCCCTTTTCAATAGTCCATTCGTACATAAAACTATAGGCGACTTTACTGGTGTGTCTACATAAGTAATAACATGAATAACTGTTTCATTCTACAGCTGTTGAGGTATGCGACGGTTGAACATAAGGTATCACTGGATGCCTTACCTTGGCTAACCCATACCCTGTTGGTCTCATTTCCAGACGGATACCCTCCTTTATACTGCTGCGTACGGTTGCCTGTGGCACGTGAACGGCGTCTCGTAACAAATGGAAATTCATGAACACAAAAGTCAGTATTTTTTGTCAAGACTGAAGTACGACTTGCTGCAGGTCTCCTTTAGGACGGTCCGGAAATTCCAAGTTGATCCATATTATTTTTCCCCACAATGCCACTAAGTATTAAAGATATTCCCTCCCGTCTTGGAAATTCTAAATCTCCAATCTGAACACATCGTCATAATTTAAATGTATGAATATTATTCGTCGGAAATGATTGTTAACCACCCTTTCTAAAATAATCAATTTTCGGTGGCGTCACACTACCTACAAAACGCCAAAAAAACACAAAATGTAGTTCTGACACATGCTTTTCTACCACGACTTTGTATGGGTTATGGATGACACGTGACTTGCAGATTTGGAGATTCAGAATCGTTTTAATGTATAATGTACTTAATCCTGTATAAGTCAGCTATCTTGAAGAATTCCGCAAGACTGTATAAGCTAATTTAACACTGGATATTTATTCTATAATAAGATTAAATATGTTATTTTTTGCTGCTCTTCAGTATTGTTACTTATTCGTACATATTTTTCATAGACAAAATTTTAGATAAATAACATTATTTTTAAAGTAATAAAAACCGTTGGAAACAATAGCACCATAGGCATGCTCTGTCAAATTCATTTGGTCAGTGATTCAAGTATAATACTGAGATAAGACAGAAATTATATTCACGAGTTCTATAGAATATCGCTCTCGATAGACTGAAATTAAGTTCACAATTTGCATAGAATATCACTCAAGATAGACTGAAATTAAATTTACAAGTTGAATAGAATGTCACTCAAGATATACTAAATTTACAAGTTGAATAGAATGTTACTCAAGATAAACTAAATTTACAAGTTGAATAGAATGTTACTCAAGATAAACTAAATTTACAAGTTGAATAGAATGTCATTCGAGATAAACTAAATTTACGAGTTGAATAGAATGTCACTCGAGATAAACTAAATTTACAAGTTGAATAGAATATTGTTCAATATAAACTAAATTTACCAGTTGAATAGAATGTCACTCGAGATAAACTAAATTTACCAGTTGAATAGAATGTCACTCGAGATAAACTAAATTCACATGTTGAATAGACTGTCACTCAAGATAAACTAAATTTACAAGTTGAATAGAATGTCACTCAAGATAAACTAAATTTACAAGTTCAATAGAATAAGATGAAAAGCTTGAATAAAGAGAATCTAGGTCGTTTTAATAGAATATTGGACATTATTTACGATATAAGATGGTATTGCTACAAATAAAATAATTTGTAGTGTGAACAATGTTACCATTGTAATGTCAAGATGGTGGTTAATGTCAACACGATAAGTTTGTTATGAAAGAACTATGACCTAAGACAGGCAGAGAAAGATGACGTATCGAGATATAGATCTTAAGATGAACGGATTTTGATTAGCTACAGAAACAGAATACATTTCGAAACGTTATAACTCTGTGGTTTTTATTTGTTCCGGTAACAGTCTGAACCTTCGACCCAACTGAGCTGATGAGAGTTGACACTGCTCGAAATTGTAGTTCTTAATTTTGTATACTAAAAAAAAAGCTGATACATATAAATTAGTTAGATATAACATGTGAGAATTAAATAATAAGTCAGGCATTTCAGCTAACACTCATTTGATTAGATACGTTCAGCACGTATCTAGAATACATAACTGTTTGTTCAAAGCATGTACTGCCTTATTCTAGTGTTAATTGAGTATCCTAGATTTAACCAATACACCCTGCTTGAATAAAGATCGATATCTATGTCAAGGTATTATCAGTAAGCTGTGATGTAGACCTATTACGTAATCATTTCACACGTGTTAAATATTTTCACGTGGAAATGTGTCTCATTATGCGGGAAATGGTGATGTATCACATAATCATATCGAAATACCAAATTTATTCATGAAGAAAGGCATATGAAAAGGCGGGGATCTAAGATGTATTACGTTATCAATCCACACGTGTTAAATTGTCTTTTACAAGGGAACCCACTAAATTATCGAACATATTCGTGGTTCTTGAAACGGCTTTTAGCGGATGTGTGACATTTATGTTTCGTCTCTAATAATGAGACATGATCATGTACAACATTCAAAACTTTCAAATTCCATAAACGTCCAATCAAATAATCATGTTAACTTCACCTGTTCTTTTGTTGGTTTTTTAAGGAAAAAAATAAAGACTTCACTAAATGAACTCATCTAGCAATCATAATTACTTCTTTTGTTTCTTTGAAGTTAAGCACAAAGTTACACAATGGGCTATCTGTGCTCTGCCCCCCACGGGTACCGAAACCCGGTTTCTAGCATTTTAAGTCCGCATAAATACCGCTGTGCCACGGGGGAGGGGGGCAAAAAGAATAAGTTCAGAAGACTACAACAATCTAGGGGAAAAAAAGTAGAAAATAGAACCTGAAAAATGAAATAGAACTCCAAAAACATACAAGGAAATTAACTCATTGGAAAACGAAACGTGGAAAATAAATTTCAAAAAGGGAAGAGCCGACAAATAAAATAAAAAATTAATCGAACTGGTATAAAAGTACCTAAAATACAAGAAAGTGTTCCAGCAGTGGTTTAAAATTTGTTATAATGCTACAAAATAAACAAAAAGTGACTTCGGCGAACTGAGTACTAAAATTAACCATAATATAAGAACAGGAGGATTAAAAAAAACTAAAATATAATGAAAAACATAGAACAATTATTCATCGTGTAAACAGCACAATGGTTTTTATGTTTTTCTTTTGAACCAAGCCACATTGGGCTATCTACTGTATCCATCGTAGGAAATCAAACCCCGGATTTTAGCATCAGTTTTGTTGTGTATATAACCTACTTCAAAGAAATGTCGGTATTTACTTTGCTGTCGGTTCGAGCTTATAAGAAATAACTATGCTTGTTTCTTAAGGTGATGCACTTTTTGAGAGTTTTTTCGTGATTCCAAGTCTTATTTTCAACGTATTTATCAAAAACAATATATATACATTTGTTAAAAAGTTAGTTTCTCTTCTTACATCAAAGATAATTGTGGGTTTATTCTAATTAAGCGCCAAAATGAGGTGCAAGAAAATTTGAAATTACATTGTTCTTGATATGTTTAATTGGCACTTAAAAATGTAGCGCCTGAAAACAGCGAATTCACAGTAAACTGGCGAATTTAAAAAGTAATTTTATCTTTTCAATGCAACGATACTATTGGGTTATAGTCATATAGTTGAACAGATGGCCACACACGCTTTAGTACAGAAATTAATCTTATATGTAGTAACTGTTTAATATGATTACATCTAAGAGTCAGAATAACAAATCATGGCACTAGAAATAGATAAAGGCGTGTGTAGGGTAGGTTGCCTCACATGGGGACTAACTTGGTTTTTGTATTAACACAAAACCGTGGAATCACAAAAGCACCAATGTTTCCGTTTCCTTGGACAACGAACGTTAATTGTAGCTTTAAAAACAACCAGGAAGAGTATTTACAGTTTGACTGTTCTTAACATAGAGATTTAAAAACAACCAGAAAGGATATTTACAGTTTGACTGTTCTTAACATAGAGATTTAAAAACAACCAGGAAGGGTATTTACAGTTTGACTGTTCTTAACACAGAGATTTAAAAACAACCAGGAAGGATATTTACAGTTTGACTGTTCTTAACACAGAGTTATAATTGAATTTCTTGTTTTTACTGATATTTTGTTTCATTTGTAGTTAAGCTGAAAGCTATACAATGGGCTGCCTGTCATATGCCCACCATGAGTATCGAAACATGGGTTTTAGCGTTGTAAGTCTGCGGACCGCTGAGCCACTGGGGAGCTTCACTGATATAAAAGTTCAGTGTTTATCCATGCTATTCCTTTATTTGACTTTTATTACCTTTGGTATAAAATTTAACTGATAGAAATGTGATACAGAAATAATTTATATTGTTCATACAACTTTATTGTATGCAATGAACTCTACGTTTAGTTGTAATAGCTTGGTTTAAATACAATTTGGTTCGTGATAATCATTTTGCGTTAAATTTCTAAAATCGTAACACAATCAAGACTGACTCCCCTCCCCTCCCCCAAAAGAAAGCTAATTCTAGAAACTAAGCATATTTGTTAATTATAGGCGGGCGAATGAAGAGGATACATAATTATTGTGTGATCCACAGCACATAAAGTTGTATAAATAGCATATTTATACGTTTCAGTTTCTTTATTTTGCAAAAAATTATACACACAGATATAAAGATATCAGTTTGTCAAGTACGAATACAAATTGATATAAAATCTCACTCTAAGTAAAAACTAGGGTCTCTTCTAATTCGTAAAAGAAGCCAGTCAAAATATGAGTTCAGTTGTAGATCACTAGAGGGCGAAAGTGCAGCTCACTTGTCAGTGAAAGTCTTGGACGAAATTCTAAATACTTTACAGTAATTCATCTTGAGTGGTTTGGCATCTAAAGAGACATAAAAATATATATTTAGTTTGTAAAAAATAATGTAAGCCCTTGGATCAAATTAGTTTCATTACTAGTTTTTAAAAATATAATAACCTTAACAAAAACATGTTATATATGACTTAATATTTTACAACTTTACTATTATTATTATTATTTTGATAAATCATGTAATGTGCTAACATTAAAATTGCTTCAGGTTCACAGGCTTATGGAAATATCTATTCATATTGATAACATCAGTAATAACTTGTTCGACTGACAAGATGTTATCAGTCCTGCTGTACCATGTTTGTTAGTCAGATATTAATTAATATTCGAAGCAATACCCATATGGAATAAGGTCTATTACGTTATCTAAGAAACCTAATATGTCTCAGCTCGTGTCATGTTTTTTTTCTAGTTATTACTTAAGCGATATTTAATTACCAGTTTTAATAGCCAAGAAACAAAGAATCGTTTTCTGTCTGACCGTAAAATATATAAAGACATGTTTATTGTTTTGTTTTTTATAAGACAGTGAATTTTTGCTTTGAGCAGTTTATTAGGTTTTAAGTACATTTATGGGGCTTGCTTACCCTAGTCCCACCATCCACCATAACCACCACCTCCTCCGCCTCCGCCTCCTCCACCACCACCACCAAACTTTCCACCGCCGCCCCCACCACCACCACCGCCTGAACTCAGAGAAAGGGGTACAGCAAGAAGTCCAAGAACAACGTTTCCTCCTCCTCCACCACCACCACCACCTCCGTAACCTCCACCACCACTGCCTCCACCTCCATGACCACCTCCGCCGCCTCCACTTACTGACACTGGTATCGCCTGTAAATAGTCATGTTTATGTGTTACATCTTTATTTGCACTTTTATTTTGTATATTATACTCTTTACTTATTAACACCAGACAGTAACTAGTACAACCCGAACACCTAAAAAATTATCAACCTTTTTATATGCCAACAAGTGATTTCGTGTATTTTACAAAGAAGTTTGTTCATATAGATTCTTGCATATATTCGTATTCGAACTCGTACTTTGTAAATATCCTTTGGTTATTTAAAACATCTTCATACGCACCTGATCACACGTGACTCACTTTACTTTTAGTACATTCGATATTGTGATTTAAATAAGATAAGTTTATTTTTCTTGATTTCTAGTGATTTTATCTGTAAAGCCTTGGTGTTTTCTCACTTTAAAATAATTAGCGGACACGCGTTCATCCGTCTTGTAAACACGCGAAGCGTTGAAGAATGGATTAAGGTAATCTTTAGTTTATGAGTATTTGTTACCTCTTACGATTTTCTCCAGCAGATGTCGCAACCCGTCTAGATTTATTTGTTGTTGTTTTTTAAATGATCATACTTCCAGTGGATATTTTGAATTATTTTTTCTATTTATTGTATTTTTCGTTTACTCCCCATGTAGCAGACATGAAATTTGTGTTTGGCTTCGCCTTAACTAATATATTCTAAAGAACTGACTAAACAGAACGGATAAGAAAAAATAAAAGCTTGATATATGTAGACTACCTTCTGAATTAAACATTACCTATTTTGTGGGTTAAAGTAATTATAAAATTATTTGAGCTGAAAGTCACGTTATGTGCTATTTGAAAGATTTTGGAATTTGCCTTGCGGTGATGTAAAGTTTAACATCATGGATCCAAAGATTATAGGTTCGAAACTCCAAACTGTGTGGACGTTATAAGTGTAACAATCAATCTTGTTAAGAGTAGCTGCATAATATGTGGCGGGTGCTACTGACAGTTTGCCCTCCCTCTGGTCGATAGTTCTAAATTAGAATTGGCTATACCTATAAGTTAAAGGCCTCAGGCCGTTTAGCCCGTGTGTCGCGTAAGATTTGTTGAGGCTGAAAACTTCGAATCTATGAATGATCTAATAAAGATAGTAGAGCAATGTTCTCTTTTTTAATAAAAAATAATAATATATACCATATTGCTCCTTACTCAGAGAATGTGCTATATTAAACTTTATAATATCATCAAAACGCTGTGCTATGTGTAAATAATATAATACTCTGATAGTTAAGTTCTTGTATCTTATAATAAATTTGGTCACAGCATAATGTTCTATTCCCATATTAACTACATACAAAAAATTACCTGAATACTAATGGAACCACCACCACCTCCGCCTCCGCTACCACCATAACCACCACCCCCTCCGCCACTTGAACCATAGCCAGTGGCTGAAACTTTCAGGTCATCCTCTGGTTTTAAAGTGTCCTGGATTTCTGCTTGTACCACGGTTGTGGTCAGAAGCAGAGAAGCAATAAACGCCACCTAGCGGAGAGATACATTATGTATAAGTGATACAAAAAGAGTAGAAAACAAAACAAAACAACCTCAAAAATACTGCTGACAGTATCTTAAGAAGTAAAATAATCTAATCGTTTTCTGGAAACTTTTATTTTCTAATTATCACTCCCAGTGGCTCATCGATAAGTCTGGAGACTTCTAACGCTAAAATCTGAATTATGATACCCGTGGTAGACACAGTACAGATAGCTCCCATTGAGTAGCTTTGTGTTTAACAAAAAACAAACAAACTGTTAAAGAAAACTACCAATAGGAAACAAATACATTAAAATCAATTCGGTGGACTTAAAAGCGCTTACTAACTCTTTCTTAAATAATTTGTTATGGGATTTTTACTGCACTGTCAAAAGAACGCAATGAAACGTCTGCTTGACTGGGTAATATATTTGGTGTTTTGCAAATTTGGTTTTATGTTTTCTGAACTGACGTAAAAATTTATTACTTTACACTCTGCTACCTTTATAATTATCATGCATCGATCCTTCTGCTGAAATTTTGGGCTTTAAGTTATTTTCATTTTTGTATTTAAACACTTATTTAGTTATTAGTACGAAGCTACTGCAGTGGCTCAGCGGTAAGCTTGAGATCTTATAATAATAAAATTCAGAGTACGATCCCTAAGGCTGTTACAGTGCAGATAGCTCATTGTGTGGGCATGGTCTGTTCCTGCTGTAGAGCTCTGTATTTCGGAATCTGGCAAGCCGGGTCAGATTCCGTGCGATACTACAACATATACTTCCCTGTGGGACAGCGGTAAGTCAACGGACTTACAACACATAAGTCCGAGGCTAGATTCCCCGCTCTAATTAGGCTTTGCTCTAAAACAAACAAACAAAAAACCACAAAATATTCTCCCTCCACTTTAAGCTGTGAACGCGTTATAAGAGTGACAACATATTTATTATCACGTATGGTGGGCGGTAGGGGTGCTGCTGATTGGCTGTCTTCCCTCTGGTCAACAATTCAAAACTAAAGATGGCGGCAGATAGCCTTGGTAATTTTGCCGTAATTACAAAAATACAAGTTTTATACTTAAAGCTAGTCAAACAAAAATTTTCATGGCTCTAGTTGAGATTGTAAATTTAGTTTCGTATTTACGTACACGTTATTTTCAAAACTAAATGTAGTAATAGGCAAGTTTAGTTTCGTAACTACATACCCGTGTCTTCATAGCTGTAAGATAAACCGATGTTGCTGAGTTAGTCTGGAGAAGTGAAGACTGTAGGTCGTTCGTCGTATTATATACTCTAGCCAGAAACCTTTCTTTCTTGTTTTTCTTCGAGCATTTTAAAGAAGTTCTTTCATAAAAAGAAAAAAAAACTCCGTTGGATACAATGTCAATGTGCCAATACCTGTTCCGTTCTTTTCCTCATTAACTTTGTTTGGAACGTGTAATGAAGTGGTCGTAATCCTTTCTATCATCTGTTCCAGCAACTCATCACTTGAGTAGTAGTAGGTCAACTACTTAAAGATCTCACGCAATCCTTTGAGGAAACTTAATAATTGTCTTTTTGTTGTTGTTGTTGTTGTAAAGTCTGTAATTATCTTGAGTTCTGAGCAAGTGTATTATTATTTTATATCCAGTTTTAGTAAATGTTACTTTCAAACGCAAAGTAATGAGGGCATGATGCACTTTTAATTTGTTTTTATATAATTTGTCCATCGTTCAGTTTACACAGTCTCAGCTACAATGTTCGCGTCTGAGATCATCTTTATGAGCTGGTAAATTGAACGATTGTAAATTAGGCACATACATAGTCTTATGTGCTCTAGTTCATCAAAATTAATAAAAGTAAAACAACAAGTGTATCTAAAAGCTATCTTATTATTTCTTATCTATAATCATGCACAACAAAGAAAGAATACAATAGTGAAGGTTTTATTTGTTACTGTTTTTATAGAAAATACAAATAGAATAAGATTCATATAAAAACCTGGAATTAGCACAACGAAAGCAGTTTTTTTATTGAATATTCGTTTCAGGTTTTATAAACGGAATGCTTGCGCAGATGTGTAATTTTTTTATAAAAAATGCCGAACATTGTCTACCTATATACTTAACGATACATCCAAATGAGATGGTAAACATTCAGATGATTAACAAACATTACCTATATACTTAACGATACATCCAAATGAGATGGTAAACAGTCAGATGATTAACAAACATTACCTATATACTTAACGATACATCCAAATGAGATGGTAAACAGTTAGATGATTAACAAACATTACCTATATACTTAACGATACATCCAAATGAGATGGTAAACAGTTAGATGATTAACAAACATTACCTATATACTTAACGATACATCCAAATGAGATGGTAAATATTCAGATGATTAACAAACATTACCTATATACTTAACGATACATCCAAATGAGATGGTAAATATTCAGATGATTAACAAACACCATTCATCATTTCAGTAACGAGTGAAATCTCTGGTTAACAATAAATTTCCAAAATAACAAAAACTAAAACTGAAAAAGCAAAATTCAAGAAATTTCATTATCATTTTGCACAAACATGGCTCTTCAGGCGAAATAAAAGACAATAAAAAAGTTATAAATATCCATTTCAATACTGTTACCTAAAAATATACATTCATTAATATTTTTTTATTTTAACTACAAATAGTAAAAACTAGACCATATTTATATTATTGTTTTTATAAAATTCTGTATGATACCGAATCACTTATACCAGACGGTAACATCTTTTTTTAAGTACAAATATATTTCCAATCTCATAACTCTTCGAGGTTTGGCAGGAAAAGTTTGATGTAGAGAATTATATGAATGCTCGTGTCTACGCTATTACTGTGTGATTAAGTTGAAAATTCTGGTATTTTTCTGGTTCCGTTAAAAATATTGGGGTCCATTCAGTTCAATCATTTGTTTTCCTCGTTCAAAGCATCAATTATTGCTTGCTGTGCTAGGCCAAGGAACTTTACTGAGTTTAATAATACTTTGTAAGACATTTACCCTATGTATTACCTATACATCTTTTAGTGTTAGGTGATTTAAAGAGGTCTTACATTTGTGTATCTGGAAACTTTTCCTCATCGACAGAGGTGTTGTGATAGAAACGGATCAATGGAAAGATGGATGTTATTTTCCTTGTTGGATGTAACCGTTTTGTGCTTCTAAATATAGAAAACACAGTTTATGTGATATTAGATGATGTGTTTACTGCAGCCTGGAAACGTATTTCTTTTGTCGTAGGTTTGGAGTATGAGAAATAAAAGGTTGAATAATGTATTCGTGTACTAGATATTATAGAAGTTGAACCTAATAGTGTTAACAGGAGCTTAACTTAAGTGTTAACAGGAGCTTATCGAAAAGTTGTTGTTACAATTGCTTGAAATAAAACTAGTGTTTATATCGTTCTAGAACTTTAATTTATGCCACTAACCTCAGTTTTCAAGAAATTCTAAGCGAGACACGCATTATAATTTACTGTTTGGTTTTGTTAGCACTGGAGGCTTAGTTATAAGCAAACTCTAAACGAACTTTACACTTCCTTATGTATTCACCATCGTATTCGTTAGTCTTAGTTATAAGAAAATTATAAACGAATTAGTACATTTTGAACTAGTTATATACAATTTAATATTAATTTTTAAGCTATGACTTTGGTACAATTAAAGGCTAAGTTTTTAAAAATAACGTTTATTCTTCTACTCATAACACTTACACCATTTCATTACGACCAGTATAACACATTTATACAGGATGTTCCAAATGTTGGCTGCCATAAGCTTTAATTGCACCAAAGTCATAATTTAGCAATTAATAGTAAATTGTATATAATTTTCATTTTTGTTGTTAAGCGCAAAGCTACACGCTATCGAAAACCGGTTTCAGTGTTATAAACCTTCTGACTTCTTGCTGAGCCATTAGATATTGATCATAACACCATACTTCTGTTTGTAATCAACACTCTGCCAGCTCTTCCACTTTGTACACGTTTAAAGAATATGCTTAAATGTATCCCTCTCAAAACCAATACACAAATCCAGGTTCACCGATGGGACAGCAGTAAGTCTCCGGACTTACAATACTAAAATCCGGTGTTCGATTCCCCGCGCTGAACACATCAGATAACCCGATGTAGCTTTGCTCCAAAATAACAAACACGAATCTAGATCACATCCATACATTCATTAGGGATCGGTTTCATCATCAAAAAGAATCAATGAAGGTTGTATTTTAAAGTAAGAAATGTACAAGATAAGACTATAAGACAAGGTTTGTTTATTAACATTATGTCGTCTGCTTTACGTTCATTTCCAAGTTATTTTAGTAAAGTGAAGCTTCAGAGTAGTGTTAAATGAACTACACGGTGCCTCAAAAGTTGGTTGCTACTTTAACATTGAGAAAAATAACATTGCTTTCCTTGTACCTTCATTGATTCTTTTTGATGATGAAACCGATCACTAATGAATGTATGGATGTGATCTGGATTTGTGTATTGGTTGCTACTTTAACATTGAGAAAAATAAGATTGCTTTCCTTGCTATAAAACAAATACTTGATAATCAAGTGTGATATAAAACAAATACATGATAATCAAGTATGATGTAAAACAAATACATGATAACCAAATATGATATAAAACAAATACTTGATAATCAAGTGTGATATAAAACAAATACTTGATAATCAAGTATGATATAAAACAAATACTTGATATTCAAGTATGATATAAAACAAATACACGATAATCAAGTATGATATAAAACAAATACACGATAATCAAGTATGATATAAAACAAATACACGATAATCAAGTATGATATAAAACAAATACACGATAATCAAGTATGATATAAAACAAATACACGATAATCAAGTTTGACGCATTTATGACTCAGTTGAAAACTCTTGATTTTCGTAGCAAACCACAAACGTTCTTCAGTTATCTAAAATATAAGTGATGACGATAATAACAGATT